TATATATATATATATATATATATATATATATATATGTGTATGTGTGGAAGGAAGTAGAATCTCTGATGATCTTTCTTGATCAGGCTGGTGTTGTTGCTCCAGCTGTGGTTGTTGTTCAGGTGTACACCCAAGTACTTGTAGCTGGAGACCACTTTCACCGCAGATCCTCCTACGTTCAGGGGGTGTAGGTGTGTTTGCTCCGTCTGTAACAGTTTTCAAACAATATTCAACAATTAATATAAAATTAACGATATAATTATAATTATTGTTATAATATTAACAATATAATATATATAACAATAAAACAATATTCAAACAAGAACTTCAGATGTTAGTTGATACGTATAATTTTATTTAAATATATTTTATTTATTTAATATTTTTTGCTACTTCTCTGTTTTTAGTAATGTTACTTAAATTTAATTTTGATCTGGATAATATGTTAACTTGTTTATGCAAATATTGACCTCAGGAGGTATGACAGAGGATTCTTCACGTGTCATTTTGTTATTTGAGATTGTTGTTTGTTCTGTAAATAAAGTGCTTAAAATAAAAGATGCTTCCTTCCTGATTCACCGCCACACTGAGGTCACATGACCTCATCATGTGTAGCCATGAAAACAGGAAGTGGAACAGCTGCTGACTGTAGACGGTCCGGTTCTGACCCAGTGTCCTCTGTGTCCTCAGAGTGAGATTGTGAGGGACGAGTCCTCCTCCGGCCTGCTGGACTGCATCCATGAGGGTCTGACCCGGCTCCTGGGTGTCGGTGCTCCTCACAGCCGCCGCCTGCTTCCTCTCAGCTGCTTGCTGCTTCCTGTGGCGCTGCACGCCATTCTGCGTTATGCCATCTCCGTATCCGTCCAGCAGGTGGCACTGTGGCTGCACCAGCGGGGCAGGAAGCGGCCCTTGGACCCCTCAGACCCATTGGACACCCACTTTCCTGAGCTGGTGGCAAGGTGGGCGGGGTCTTTGGTGGCTGACGTGATGCTCTTTCCTATGGAGACGGTGCTGCACCGCCTCAGTCTGCAGGGGACTCGCACCATCATCGACGCCACCGATGGTGCAGTGGCCACAGGAAATGGCGGCAGCCCGCTGGTTCTGCCCGTCAACACACAGTACGACGGCTTCAGCGACTGTCTGCATGCCATCCGCCGAAAAGAGGGCGGGGCCGGGTTCTACCGGGGCTTCGGGGCTCTGCTGATGCAGTACACTGTCCACGGGGCGCTGCTCGCCGCCGCCAGGACACTGCTCAGGGTTCTGCTGCTGGACGCCAAGACCGCTTAGGGCGTTACCGTGGAGACCGAACCGAGACCGGCCACAACAACAGGACGATTGGTTGATGATCTGCTGACCGACTGATCCCCTCAGATCCACCTCCCTAATGATGTCACTTCCTGCCTGGGCTGACAGTCTGTTGCCATGGAAACAGTTTGACCATCAGCAGCTGATTGTCAATAAAACAAATACACATGTAAACAAACTTTGAAAAACACATCAACAACCAGCAGGCGTGTCAGCAGAGGAAGCCGGAGTTTTTCTGTATAAAAGTGTAAAAATCAAAAGTTGTTCGTGTGAAAAAGTTGAAGTAGAATAAATTATTTGTGACTCGTTAAAAGAACAAACTGAAAGGAGCAGGAATTTCAAAGCAAATGATTCAAAATAAATTAAAACTTGTCAACAATTCTTGTGAATAAACTGTTTCTTTTGTGTCGCGATCATTTCATGCAATTCAGATTAAAATTTTAAAACTTTACAGGAAATGTAAAAAATATATACAATCAAAACAAAGAAATGTAAAAAAGAAATCGCACAAAAATCTTAAAAATATGGAATCACGTCACTGCTACTGAAAAAAAACCTAAACTTTAATTCTATGTATTTACATATACAGTATATCGGAGAGCTGTGGATGAGTGGTTAGAGCAGTCGTCTTCCAATGGGAGAGTTGGGGGGTTTGATTCCAGCAGCAGTCACATGCTGAAGTGTCCCTGGGCAAGACACTGAACCCCTCATTGCCTCTGATGTGTCTCATCAGTGTATGAATGTGATAAAGCTCTGATTGTTCTTTGCAGAGATCTAGTATAGAGCTGTATGAATGGATACATGAGGCACAGATTGTAAAGAGCTTCGAGTGTCTTGATAAGATAGAAAAGTGATATATAAAAACTGTCCATTTACCATTTCTATATACAATTCAGTTAATTTCTGTAGCTCCAAGTCCCAACAGAAGTAATATCCGGGCACTGAACAGAAACATTCACATACATTGTAAAAGCCAGTTAGTTTAAGATCTCTGTCTAAGGAAGCAAGCACAAAGGAGACAGTGGAAGGAAATTACTCCCTCTTAACAGGAAGAAACCTCCAACACAAGCAGGCTCAGGATGAGGACGGCCATCTGCTTCGATCGGTTGGGTTTGAGAGGACAAGAAGTAGAAAGAGTCAAACAAAATGATGGGTCCAGATGTACTTTATAGGAGGAAAGACTAAAAACATGTTAAAATAGAAATAATTACAAATACAAAACAGGAAGAGTAGAGCTAGTAAAGACAGCAGCAGAGAGAGGAAATGTGGTCTATTTATCCTCCAGTAGTCTAAGTCTATAGCAGAATAACAAGCCAACCCTAACTATAGGATTTAGCAAAAAGGAAAGTCTTAAGCCCAGTTTTAAAACTGGACAATGTGTCAGACTCATGGACAGAAACTGGAAGGTGGTTCCACAAGAGAGGAGCCGGAGAACTGAAGGATCTTCCATTCTGCTTTTGGAAACTCTAGGAACCACAAGTAAACCTGCAGTCTGAGAGTGAAGTGCTCTGTTAGGAAACTATGGAACAATAAGATCTGTAATATAAGATGGAGCCAGGTTGTTGAGAGCTTTGTAGGTTAGAAATAAGATTTTTAATTCAATTCTGGATTTGACAGGGAGCCAATGGAGAGAAGCTAAAACTGGAGAGATATGATCTCTCCCACTAACTCCAGTTAAGACTCTGGCAGCAGCATTTTGGATCAACTGAACGACGTTTTAAAGAAGTATTTGTACAACCAGATAATAAACCATTGCAATAGTCCAGTCTAGACGTGACAAATGCATGGACCAGTTTTTCTGCATCATTTTTAGATGTTTCTAATTTTTGTGATATTACGCAGGTGGAAGAAGGCAGTTCTAGTAACGTTTTTAATGTGGGGGATAAAAGACATGTCCTGATCAAAAATAACACCAAAGATTTTTAACATTAGAGCTGGAGGACAGATTAATGTCATCTCATTAGTGACTTTTACTAGTGCTGTTTCTGTGCTATGATGAGCTCTAAACCCTGACTGAAACTCTTCAAACAGATTATTTCTTTGTAGAAGTTCACGCAACTGACCTGCAACTATTTTCTCTAGAATTTTTTAGATGAAAGTTAGATTAGATATAGATCTATAATATGATAGGATTCCTGAGTCAAACAGGTGAAGGTTTAATTGCAGCAACCTTAAAGCTCTGTGGTACGTAACCATTCATTAAAACAATTTAAGTACCAGTAGATCCAAAATGTGGACATTAATTATGGGAACTACCTCTTTAAACAGTCTGGTTGGGATGGGATCTAGCAGACATGTGGATGATTTGGTTGAAGGATTGATGGATTATCATCAGTCTCCTTCTCTGCATGGATGAGATGACGCTAAAAGGGAGCAAGACATCGACTCATGGATCCACCTCACCAGGACACCAGATGTCAGTTGAACTGGGTCATTGTGGACAAATGGTGTCCAAGAGAGGCCAGGAGATCACACCTGAAGGGGTTGAACTGTGAGAGTTCTAGTTTCTGCCACACTCATTTTCTCCCACAGCTGGAGCCGATACCAGTCAGACACCACTGCACACCTGACCCTGATTTGGAGGACTACTCTGCAGGAGTATAAAAGCCTCTGACATTATCCTGCCTGTTGCCCTTCAGCTGAAAAGGATGATTTAGGAAATAAAGCCTGGCTCTTTATTCTGTTTCTTTTATCTTTTCGTCAGTATTTTTTTTTTTTATTTATGTTGCACTCAATCAATAATGTTGAAAAATAAATAAATAAAAATATCTGAGCGGAACCTTCGGTGTGTCCGGCTCTGTTTCCGGTCGGACTCAGTTCCTCGGCGCTCCTCCATGTGTGTTTGTACTGCGCGGATCTCCGGGCTTTTCTCTCTATGCTTGTTTGATTGTTTGTTGTTTGTTTGTTTGCGTTGAGCGGTAAACATGCCGGGAGGCAGCAGTAGCCTGTTTTCCGGGTTCCGGGTTCTGGGCCTGTACTCGAACCACATCCCGCACGCGCTCCGGTACCACCTGAAGCACCGGGAGTTCTACTTGGTAACGTCAGTGGGAAGGAGCTTCCACACGTTCAACGTAAGAAAGATATATTGATCCTATCCTGATGCATGCTTTTAGATATATTGAATCTGGTCCGATTCGTTGATTCTGACCCGGTTCGTTTACCTGATCCTGATCCGGTTCGTTATCCTGATCCAGTATTGATTCTGATCTGTTCGAGACTAGGGAGACGTGATGACACAACACACATTAGTTAATCCAGTTAACCAGGAGATAACCTGACCTGAATTAAATGTGTCTGTGGTTCTGGTCTAAAACAACCAACTGTAGCTGATGTAGGTGACCTTTGACCTGTGTGTTGATCTCCTCCCCAACAAGTTACACAGATTTATATTGTGCATTCTTTTTTAGTTTTCTTTGTGCTGTTTGATTCACAAAACTGTATCAAAAGCGTGAGACCGACCTGGCCCGCCCATCAAGCACATTATTTTGGCCCAATCCAGTCCAAATTTTGAGTTCAGCGGGTTAGAACTCGCAGCGCTTCTCCTAAGGAGAACCTCAACACCTTCATTTCTGCCATTTCCAGTTCTTTCTTGTGTCTTTTTGTCCACGTCTCTGTCTCCAGACCATACAACATAGCTGGTCTCATCACTGTCTTGTAAACTTTTCCTTTGACCTTTGCTGACACCTTTTTGTCACAAATCACTCCTGAAACTTCTCTCCATCCTGCCTGGACTCTCTTCTTCACTTCTTTACCACACTCCCCATTTTCCTGGACAGTGGACCACAAGCCCTTGAAGTCCTGCACCTTTGTGACCTCTGCTCCTTGTAGCCTCACTGTTCCACCTCCTCCCTCTCATTCACACACATGTACTCCGTCTTACTACGGCTGACTTTCATTCTTCTTCTTTCAAGTGCATACTTCCACCTCTCCCAAGTTCTCTTCCACCTGTTTCCTGTACTCACCACAGATCACAATGTCATCTGCAAACATCATAGTCCATGGGGATTCCTGCCTGACCTCATCTGTTAGTCGGTCCATCACCAGAGCAAACAAGAAGGGGCTCAGAGCAGATCCTTGATGCACTCCCACCTCCACCTTGAAGTTATCTGTCACTCCTACAGCACATCTCACCACTGTCCTGCTGTCCTCATACATGTCCTGTACCAGTCTAACAAACTTCTCTGCCACTCCAGATTTCCTCATGCAATACCACACCTCCTCCCTCGGCACCCTGTCATATGCTTTTTCTAAATCCACAAAGACACAATGGAGTTCTTTCTGACCCTCTCTGTACTTCTCCATCAGCATTCTCAAAGCAAAGATGACATCTGTGGTGCTCTTTCTTGGCATGAAACCATACTGCTGCTCACAGTCATCTCTCGTCTAATTCTAGCTTCCACAACTCTCTCCCAGATTTTCATCGTGTGACTCATCAACTTAATTCCCCCTGTAGTTGCTACAACTCTGTACATCACCCTTGTTCTTAAAAATGGACACCAGTACACTTCTTTTCTATTCCTCAGACATTTTCTCACCCTCAAATATGCCATTGAGCATTTGAGTCAAAACCACACTGCCATCTCTCTAAGACATTTGTGTTTATTGTTTTTATGCTATTAGTGGTTAGCGTATTTGTAGCTGATGTTTTTCTTAGTTCATATCTTGGATCTTATTGCTGTTTTTCTTTTTACATTTTATTGTTGGATGTAACTGGGACCCTGTGTACATAATTTCATTCCACCACATGTGATTTGAATGACAATAAAGAATCTCTGAACATTTCCAAACCTCCACTGGTATGTCATCAGGTCCTACTGCCTTCCCCTTTTTCATTCTTTTCAGAGCTTTCCAGACTTCACCCTCACTAATCTTTCCCACTTCCCGGTCCACAGTTTCTATGACCTCTACTCTTCTTTCTCTTTCATTCTCTTCATTCATTAGATCCTCAAAGTACTCCTTCCATCTTCCAGTCACACTCTCCTGACTTGTTAGAACATTACCATTCCTATCTTTAATAAGCCTAACTTGCTGCACATCCTTTCCAGCCTAATCCCTCTGTCTTGCCAATCGGTACAAGTCCTTCTCGCCCTCTTTGGTGTCCAGTCTCCCATACAACTCATCGTACGCTCTCTGCTTTGCCTTAGCGACTTCCCTCTTTGCTCTACGTCCCATCTCCTTATATTCCTGTCTCCTCTCTTCAGTCCTCTCACTGTCATATTTCTTCTTGGCTAATCTCTTTCTTTGAATAGCTTCCAGCACTTCACTATTCCACCACCAGGTTTCCTTATCATCCATTCTCTGTCCAGATGACACACCAAGTACCTTCCTACCTGTCTCTCTAATTACTGTTGCTGTAGTTGCCCAGTCATTTGGAAGATCTTCTTACCATCTAGAGCCTTTAACAGTTCCTCTCTGAATTTCTCACAACATTCTTCCTTCTTCAGCTTCCACCATTTGGTCGTCTTCTCTGAATTTACTCTTTCTCTTCTTCACAACAACAATCGTTCTACACACAACCATCCGATGCTGTCTGGCCACGCTCTCCCCTGCCACAACCTTACAGTCCCCAATCTCCCTCAGGTTTCCTCTTCTACACAGAATGTAGTCGACCTGCGTACTCCTTCCTCAACTCTTATAGGTCACTTTATGTCCCTCCCTCTTTTGGAAGTAGGTGTTGACTATAGCCATTTCCATTCTCTTGGCAAAATCCATCACCATCTGTCCTTCCTGTTTTTTTCCTTGACCCCAAACCTACCCATCACTTCCTCATCCCCTCTGTTTCCTTCACCAACATGTCCATTCAGGTCTGCTCCAATCACCACTCTCTCCTCCCTGGGAATACTCTCTATCACTTCATCCATATCTTTCCAAAATGTATTTTTCTCCTCCTCATCACATGCAACCTGTGGAGCATAACCACTGATGATGTTTAGCATCAGACCTTCTACTTCTACCTTCAGGCACATCACCCTATCTGACACTCTCTTCACCTCTACTACATTCTTTACCAACTCCTCCTTCAGGACCACCCCTACTCCATTTCTCTTTCTATCCACACCATGGTAAAACAGTTTGAACCCTGCTCCAATGCTGCGAGCCTTGCTGCCCTTCCACTTGGTCTCTTGGACACATGAAACATCTACCTTCCTTCTCTGCATCATGTCAGCCAGCTCTCTACCTTTGTCTGTCATTGTACCCACATTTAGAGTTGCAACCCCCAGTCCTACATTCTTCACTTTCCTCTTCTCCCTCAGTCTCCTGACACGTTTTCGTCCTCGTGGTCTTTGACTAACAGTAGCACAATTTCCACCGGCACCCTGTTTGTCACCAGCATCAGTGGCAGTCGCTGTTAACCCGGGCCTCGAACGATCCGTTATGGTTTCGCTTTGATGAATTTGCATTATGGTTTTGCAAAAAAGTGTTTTACATCGGATGTCCTTCCTGACACAACCCTCACCGTTTACCCTGTCTTGGGACCAGCACAAGAGATACACTGGCCTGTGCTTCCTAGTGACTGGTTACATTATAAAACAATGCAAAATACTAAAATCAGGAACATGTTTGATTGGTTGATAACTTTTTAAGAACAGTTAATAATTGGTTAAAATGGTTAATCATTGGTTAATAACCTTTTAGTAACGGTTAATAATTGGTTAATAACTTTTAGTAATGTTAATAATTGGTTAATAACTATTTAATAACTTTTGAATTTTGATTTTGACTCGGTGCAGGTGAGCCGGTTGGGGATCGTTGCTGTCAGTGAGTAACTCAAAACAGTTTTTTCTGTAATGATTCTGCAGAGTTCTGTTCTCTGATTGGCAGTTGTCCTGTTATGTAATGTGATGTGTGGTTGCCTAGGTAACAGCATGTCAGATGACATCAGCTGCTTGGCAGCAGACAGGATGTTGGTTTTTGCTGCCACCGGACGGACTGTCTGCGCCTTCGCCAGGAACAAAGAGGTAAAACAAAAACTTTTTATTTTAAAAGGGTTGGTGTTGGGACAACGTTTGACTTCCTCGCTGCGTACAGGTGGTGAGGCATTACCATGGTCACCAACAGGAAGTGCGCCTACTGCTCCCACTAGGCGATCAGCTCATTTCTGCAGACAGCGGCGGTGATGTCATTGTGTGGGACGTCCAGGACGGAGGTAGGCAGAGGAGGCGGGGCCTCAAACGCACTACTTGTTATTAATTATGCTTTGCTCTCTCAGATGTCTTTTACCCATCATGCCTTGCTCTTTGTTGTTCAGACATCTACCTGCGGCTGAACTTTGACCCGAACACCTTTGACGTCTCAGCCATGATGCACCCAAGCACCTACCTAAACAAGGTACTGCTGGGCAGCTCCCAGGGTGCACTGCAGCTGTGGAACATTAAAACCAGGTGAGACTGCCACCATCAAGACTCTGTAGTGATGATGTCATAACATGATGATGATGTAACTGTTTGTTTGACAGTAAGCTGTTGTTCACGTTTCCTGGATGGTTAGCGGGAGTCACCGCTCTGCAGCAGGTTAGTCAGAATAACAACCGGTCCATCGCCTAATGAACACTGGTGGTGTTTATTTATTTGTTTATATTTGTTTTATTTATAAAATCTTGTCCTGAGTTAGTTTGTTGATAAAATTATTTCAAACGTTAATAAATAAACTCAATCAGATTAAATATTAATTATGATCTCATCAGTTTGTGTGAATGAATGTTTAGTTAAGTCTTAGACACCAAACTGAAGCTCTCTTAATTTGAAAAGGCTCCTGCTGTGGATGTGGTTGGTGTTGGCACGGCCACAGGACGCATCATCATCCACAACATCCGATTGGACGAGACACTGATGAGCTTCAAGCAAGACTGGGGACCAGTCAGCACGCTCGCTTTCAGGACAGGTAGACTGCACATGTGAAGCTCTGCTTCCATCCAGATAAATTTCTTTACGTGACCTCACCTTGATGTGCTCCACACATACTTACTCCAATAACAACCAATATTGTTATTATTAATAATATTATTGTTGTTAAGAACAACAGTAATAACATTAATAAATCATCTTAAAAATTAAGATTTGCTGAGTCTGAGACCTCCAGGCAGCGACGTTTGGACAGACAGCCATCTGAGCACAGACTGATGGTTCTGAGTGATCAAGTCACGCGTGTTCTCTTCTCTCAGACGGTCCACCCATCGTGGCGTCCGGCAGTCCTCAAGGCCACATTGCATTCTGGGATTTGGAACGCCGTCAGCTGGTAAACCAGCAGAGACACGCCCACAGAACAGCAGTTGCCGGGGCGACATTCCTGCATGGAGAGCCGCTATTGGTCACCAATGGAGCCGATAACGCCATCAAGGTAAACTAATAAACAAACAGAAGGAGGGGCGGGGAATCGGCTCTGATTTTGATTTTTACCTCAGGTGTGGATATTTGATCAAGAAGGGGGCGGAGCTAGACTGCTGCGGTGTCGTCAAGGCCACAGTGCCCCTCCCACCACCATTCGTCACCATGGCAACGATGGAAAGAACATCCTGAGTGCAGGTAGAGCCGGTGGGCGTGTGTGGATCGGGTGATGGTTGTTGTTTTTACGAGGTGTCTCTGCTGCCCCCTCAGGTCAGGACGGGACGCTGCAGTCCTTCTCCACCGTACACGAACGCTTCAACAAGAACCTGGGCCATGGTCCGTCCTTCCTCCAGTGTCTGGCTCTAAAGTTCTCTTTCGAGCTTCTGACAGAACGTTTGTTTTTGTTCCTCAGGTTCCATAAGTAAGAAGAAGGAGAAAAACAAGAAGAAGGGGCTTTCCTACAAGGAGCTGCGACTTCCTGCCATCACGGCGTTCGCCTCAGGTGGCGCTCAAACACCTGCCCGACCCAGTCAGAACTGCTAACCGAACACTGATGAAGCACTGTCTGTTTGTTGATTGACAGCTGTCACTCGTCAGGCGGACTGGGATGGTATTGTGGCTTGTCATCGGGGTCGCCTGTCGGTCACCACATGGAACTACCAGCGGTGCACCATGGGAGCTCATCACCTGAAGCCCACAGGCACCAAAAGGGATGCCATCGCCACGGTAACTGCATAACCTCTAACCAGCTGCTTCCATAAACCCCTCCACCTTCCCAGTCTCACTTCATGTCTCCATCCCAGGCTGTTGACATCACTTCCTGTGGAAACTTCGCTGTGGTAGGCTCGTCTTGTGGCCGCGTGGACGTATACAACCTGCAGTCTGGGCTGCACCGTGGTTGCTATGGAGACAATGAGAAAGGTGTGTTCTTCTGTTTGATGGTTCTGTCCACTGTGTGTGTGTGGGTGTGTGTGTATGCGTGATTAACTCCGCCCCCTCTGTACCAGCTCACAGCGGTGTGGTGCGAGGTGTCGCCACGGACACGCTGAACCAGCTGACCGTCACCTGCGGCTCTGATTGGCTGTTGAAGTTTTGGCGCTTCAAGACGAAGAAACAAGAAGAAGAACTGAAGCTGACTGCGGCGCCGGCGAGCATGAGGCTGCACAGAGACAGGTGAGTCCTCACCTGCTGTGAACATGTGCAGAAGAGACACAACTAAAACAGCACACTTGTTACCCACAATGCTTCTGTTTGCACCTGTAAAGTGTGTGTGGGTGTTCTGGAGCTGAGCAGTGATTAGTTTCCTTGTTTTGGTTCTGACCCGGCAGTGGGATGGTTGCTGTGGCGCTAGACGACTTCACACTGGTTGTTGTCGACATGGAAACCAGACGAGTTGTCAGGAAGTTTGCAGGTCACCATGGCAACATCACAGACATGGTGGGTGGGTCTAACAAGACACTAACAAGGCTAACCTACGATAGCATTACTTGATAGGTAGCTTGAAAATGAGGTCAGGCCCCGCCCACTCAGGGCTCTGCCCAGTTAGCCAGCAGGTAAAAGATTGTGTTTCTGCCTCAGACCTTCAGCCCTGACGGCCGCTGGCTGGTTACTGTGGCGATGGATTGTACCATCCGGACCTGGGACCTCCCGTCTGGATGGTGAGAATGAAATAACTTTATTGGAACCAAAGTCATTTACAAACAGAAAACTACGCCTTGAAACAGCCTGTAAACAGATGATGTTTCATGTAAACATCCTGTATGTTTATTTGTGAACATCACAGCTGGTTGCTATGCAACACAGCAGCCAATCAGAGGACAGTGACTGATTGTAGCTATTTTCTTCTCTCCTCAGTCTGGTTGACTGTTTCCTGGTTGCCACGGCGCCGGTGGGCGTGTCCCTGTCACCGACTGGAGACTTCTTGGCGACGGCTCATGTGGACAGCCTGGGCGTTTTCCTCTGGTCTGACCAAACGCAGCTCATTGTTATCATGATGACATCACTGCCATGTCTGTGTGAATCAGCCAATCATGGTGCAGCTCTCTTTTCTCAGGACCAATAAGAGCCTGTGTGGGCCAGTGGGGCTCCGCCCTCTCACTGCTGATTACCAACCAGCTGAGGAGGTGCTGCCTGGTGTCACTGCAGAGGAAGCAGAACAGGAAGCGACATCAGAAGAGGTTGATGAATACCAGTCAGCTGAGCAGCTGGGGGCGGAGCTTGTGACCCTGTCGCTGCTGCCAGAGTCTCGATGGAAAAGTTTGCTGTACCTGGACAATATCAAGGTGAGCTGAGTGATAGACGGCAGGCACAAGAGACAGGTGAGACAGGTGTTACTCACCTGTTGTTTTTGTTGTTGTTGTTTACAGAAGAGGAACAAACCTTTGGCCCCCCCTGCTGCCCCACCCACCGCTCCTTTCTTCCTGCCTACAGTTCCTGGTCTCACGCCTCGCTTTGAGTTGCCCCCGGCAACCAACACACAGGTAGAGACAATCAGAGCAGAGGCTCCGCCCACTGCAGCACATAGGTTTTTTTTTATTTCGGGTCATGTGATGGCATCTAAATAAGGTTGTACTTCTCTTTGTCAGTCCAAGGTGCTGGGCTGGGGGTCTCTGGCCCAGAGGTCAGAGTTCACTTCTGCCCTACTGTCAGCTCTGCAGTCCGGGTCCTGTAAGTCTACTCCTCTCCTTCAAATTAAAGGCGAACCTTTTTTACTGTGAAACTGTCCTATCTAGATATACAGACGTGTTTGTTTATTTAATTCGTTTAAGTAATACTACTAATAATAATCTATTTCCGTCTGAATTGAAATCAAAAACAGTCGATCAGCCGCTGCGCCTCCTGAAGGATTGTGGGCCGGCAGCGCTCTCAGTGGAGTTCACCTGTCTGACATCAGAGGGGGGTGGAGACGACAGCCTCTTGCTGGCCTTCATTCAAATGATTGACAGCATGCTGGCCAGTGGACGGGACTTCAACCTGGCTCATGCTTACCTGGCACTCTTCCTGCAGGTGAGCCAATTAGCTCTAGTCTTTAATTGTGCAAAGGTTCCAGTTTCCTTTCTGATGTCTTGGACTGTGAAATGGACTGTGAAATGGACTGTGAAATGGACTGCTTCCTGCGTGTTTTTCAGCTCCATCTGCAGACGCTGTCACAGGATGCTGTTGTCATGGCAGCATTGCTCCGCCTCTCATCCAGGCTTGAGGCAGGGTGGGCGGATCTTCAAGCATCTTTCAACCAATCCTTGTGTTTGCTGTCTTACATGAAAAGTGCACTGCTGTGACACGCGCGCGCGCGCACACACACACACACACACACACACAGTTTGTATTTGAATAAAGTATTTTTATTTGAAATTAATTTTTTTTTATTGCTTTTCTATTTGATTGAATGATTGACTGGTAATGGTCACCTGACCAGGTGACTTTTACAGAACAAAATAATCAGTTGACATTTTTAACCTTTCTTTCTTTTTTTATGGCGGTTGGCAAACAACGTTTAGATGTGCATTACCGCCATCTACTGGAATGGAGTGTGGATCGGGATGCTAAATAAATACACAGGTTTTTAACAAAAAATAAATAATAATTATTATAATTAACTAAATAAAATAATAAAATAAGAAAGAAAAAGGAAAAAAATACTATATTCTCTCGATTATTTCCGTCTTAAGGTAGCTTAACAAAAAAACTATATATTCAGAATATCCTGATGCATGCTCAATAATCCAGGTAGAAAAATCTAAAAAAGTTAAATCTGGTCCTCTGGACATTCAAAAAAACCCAAAACAAAGCAAAACAACAAAAAATGTAGAAACGTTTCGTCTCTCGTCCGAGAGACTTCCTCAGTCTGAGGTGCTGTATTCAGCTCAGTCTCTTAAATAGCACCTTCTCAGAGTGGATCAACCAGTTTGCTGCTGACAACCAAAACCAGCTGATCACATGCTCAAGAAGGACCATCAGCCTAACAATGGATCATTAGCAAACTGATGGCTGTTTACTGTTCACAGAGGGCTGAGTGATACTAGCAATCACAGCATTGTAAGAGGGGGACAGTTGAACCCGGAGGCCTCCACCCCTGTTTAATGATGGACGATTTCTTTTCACAAAGATGGCCTCCTTTACTCCTCTCTCAAACCATCGTTCCTCTCTGTCCAGGATGTGAACATCCTCATCCCTGAACGAGTGACCGCTGGCCTGGAGATGAGTGTAGACCGCAGAGTCCTGGCCTGATGATGTTGATCTTCTGTGCTGGTCCATCCTTTTGGCCAGTGGCTGTTTAGTTTCCCCGATGTAAGACTGATCACAGCCCTCCTGACACTGAACAGCATACACAACATTACTCTGTTTGTGCCGGGGGACTGGATCTTTGGGATGAACCAGTCTTTGCCGTAATGTATTTTGGGGTTTAAAAGCCACTGGGACGTTATGTTTAGAAAATAAACGTCTCAGTTTCTCAATTTTGGAGCAGGACAAGGCTATTGACCGTTTTCTGTACCACAGACTGTACCCAGGGGAGGCCACACCTAGTCTGTATGGTTTACCTAAAATCCCCAAACAAGGTGTACCTTTAAGACCAATCGTTAGTATGATTAACTCTGTCACTTACAATGTTTCCAAGTATCTGGCGTCTGTACTCATCCCTTTAGTTGGCAGCTCAGAACATCAAATACAGAACACCATGGACTTTGTGGATAAGGTGAGGGATGTCATCATGGAGACTGATGAAACAATGGTCTCTTTTGATGTCACATCACTCTTTACGTGCATTCCTGTTGATGATGCAGTAGAGATGGTCAGATTAAGATTAAAATCAGACACCACTCTGAGCAGCAGGACCACACTTTCCACAGAACAACTGTGTGAACTCTTGAAACTGTGCCTGCAGTCAACCTACTTCACATGTGGGGAGCAATATTATAGGCAGAAACATGGGTGTGCTATGGGGTCTCCAGTTTCTCCTATTGTTGGCAACCTGTACATGGAGGAGGTAGAAAAGAGAGCCTTGACGTCCTTTTCAGGGACACCACCAAGTCATTGGTTCAGGTATGTTGACGACACCTGGGTTAAAATTAAATCTCAGGAAGTCCAACATTTTACTGACCACATCAACTCTGGATAAATACATCAAGTTCACACGAGAAGATGTAAAAAAATGACAAGTTGGCTTTCTTGGACTGTGAGGTCTCAGTCTCTGATAGAGGACATTTGCAAACTGAGGTGTACCGCAAACCCACCCACACAGACCAGTATTTGCAGTTTGACTCCCATCACCCTTTGGAGCACAAGTTAGGAGTCATCAGGACTCTGTATCACAGAGCAGACAGCATCCCCACTAGCTCAGGAGCCAGGCAGAAGGAGAAATCCCACACAAGACAGGCTCTAGAGCAATGTGGATATCCTAACTGGGCCTTCCTGAAAGCAGAGAAGAAACCCAAACAGGACTCCAGTCAGCCAACAGGTGAAAAGGAGGAACCCAGACCCAGACCAGTGGTCATTCCATATGTTGAGGGAGTATCAGAG